AGAAATGTACCAAAAATGAATAAATAACAATAAAAAATATACATACACTCTTTTTAGTGCAAATTAAAATGATAAAACTGTCACACAACTTCACAACTGGTAGACATACTGTAGCCTAAGTATTTTCTTCCTCACAAAAGTAAACAGTTTAACAAGAAGTGCTCCCAGAACCTTCCCAGAACGTTCCCTGCAGGTTATTTTTTAGATTTTATTTGTATAATCATGTAAATTAATTAAAACTTTGCAGATGATACCAATAGGCTACAGAGATTATTCTAATGATGAAATTTGTAATTTATTTATAAACAAACTATATAATGCTCGGACACCCTCGGTCTTTCTCACGCACTGTCGAGCACGCTCTCGGACACACTCGGTCTCTCTCGCGCACTGTCGAGCGCGCTCTCGGACACACTCGGTCTCTCTCGCGCATTGTCGAGCGTGCTCGCGGCGTTCGCTTCGCTTTTGTCCAGTCCGGCGCCTCATAAACACACACACATCAGAGAAAAAACTTTGCAGGTCCTATGGCGGAGAGAGCCTACTCGAATGAAAACCGCTTCAGCGAGCTCAATTAGGCTATATTAACGCCGCATTTTATTGTCAGTAACGGTAACGGCGTTGTAACGGGGTAAACAGTAATTCGTTTGATTACTCGTTACTGAAAAAGATAACGCCGTTAGTAACGCCGTTTATTTATAATGCCGTTATTCCCATCACTGCTGTCCAACATGTTGTCGTGTTGTGCTTCAGGTGACCCGGCTTGCGGACATTTCCCGATTCTGTCTCCCTCTCTCCCGCTTCGCTTCCTGTCAGTTCTCTGTACTGTCCTATCGCAATAAACGTCAAAAACGTCAAAAATAAATCTATTAAGAAAAGAAAACCTTTTAAAGTGATACCACAAATTGTCCATCTGTTTTTAAAACTTGGGAAATACAATGTGAACACCGCCAAGAAATGCATTCGGGGTCAGATCAACCTGAAACCATCCTAATTTTTCATGGTTTACTAAGGACTGATTAGTCGACTATTCATTCAGACAAACCACCAGAGTAGCAGTCTGTTTTCAATATATTTAGTTTTGAATATCGCTAGTTACGTCTGCCTGATTAAGTGACTATAGCTCAATTGTTGTATGTGGCTCTTTCTCTCCCATTTGACACATAGGCCTACCATGTGGCCATCAGTCTGAAGCCTCAGCTTTTAGTCACTGTGCTTTTAAGAGGCTTTATTAGATAGACTTTTTGGTGTTCGACTGTCATAAGCCTCAGCAGTGCTCTGTCTGTATGGATTTTTGTTGAAATAGACTTTTTACACACTCAACAGAGCCCTCAGAAGACTGTCTGTCTTCTACAGCAGACAGTCTCGGTAACACTTTATTTCGATAGTCCACTTTAGACATTCTACTAACTATAAGTAACTTTTCAACTACATGTCAACTAACTGTCATTAGAGAATTAGTAGACTGTCTGCTTAATATCTGCTAACACTTTATTTTGTTTGTCCCCCAACAGATATTCTGCTGACTATAAGTAACTTAGCAACTACAAGTCAACTTGTTCTCCTAACCCGAACCCTAACACCTAACCATAACCTACCAGTCTACTGACAGTCTACTACAGCCAACTAATACTCTAAAGACAGTTAGTTGACATGTAGTTGAAAAGTTACTTATAGTTAGTAGAATGTCTAAAGTGACTATCGAAATAAAGTGTAACCACAGTCTCTCTTTTTACTTCCTTCCTTTATTTATTTATTTATTTATTTATGTTCTCTTACACTCTATTACTCTTTATAACTAGCATAGTAGAACATATTTTTTTCCTTGTCTCTTTCCTGCATCATTTGTGTGCTCTTTTTGAAATTCTTTGATAAGCAACACTTCTCTTTTTCCATTTCCATCACTCATGGACACACCGGTTTGTAAGTAATTAAACGCAAGTTAGGACCTGCCTCAGATGAAGGCAATGAATGAAAGGCATTCTGGGAATACGAGTCTTGGCCTGCCTTGAGTGTGTGTGTGTGTGTGTGTGTGTGTGTGTGTGTTTCTAGTTTGAGACAATGACACACTGACTCAATCAATAGGAGTTTACACATAAACACACAGGGCTGTACTAACCCAACAAAATGACTCCGAGAGACACCCTTTGGAACTTACCTCTTCTCTAATTGGCTCCCTGTGAAGTGGCAACTCCTCTAGGCAATCTATATGGTGATTACCCATGCTTTTGTTGCATTGTATAAAAATGGAAAGTCCTGGGTTGCTTTAACAAGTAGGATGGAAATTTAGCTCTCACATCTGGCCTTGAGCAGCTCCAGGGGAAAAGTTAATATCTTTTTGAGCGGGAGCTCATCAAGTAGTATCTGTGTGATTTGCAAGAATGTGTTCTATAATTGTGTTTGAAATCCTATATGTTGTTAAAGGAGTGCTCAGTAAAATATAACAACATATGAGATAAAAATGAGTCGTATTGAGCTGATCATGTTTTCTTAACATGGATTTGTTTTATTCTCTTTAGTATAATTCTATAATGTTTAGTATAATATAATGTTTAGTATTATTTTGTGTGTGTGTGTGTGTGTGCGCGCGTGTGTGTGTGTGTGTGTGTGTGTGTGTGTAACTTTTTAATAAGGAATTTACTCTGTGCACCCTTAAAATAATTGAGGATAGAGTGAAGTTTTTGTATTATTCATGATAACATGCCACACATTGATGCAGTATTATAATCTTTAGAGCCGACTGGTTAAGACTGAGACTTTTTTCGTTGCTCCAATAATAACCCATGCTGAATCTATAAGCAAAATGTTGTCTAAGATCTCTGGATAAAAGTTGGCGAGTCTGGAATTCATAAAATTATATCCTCAATTCACTTGAAAATATAGGGAGAAGTCTTTTTGTAGACTGGCACGGAGCCATCCATCTGAGAGAAATTCGTCCCTAGGGGCCACTCTAGCAGTAGGGAACAAAGCAGGACATATGAGAGGAAGGGGACTGATAATTTTAGGTCTAAATTTGACACATTGTATCTAATCTAATTGAATGATTCAAATCCTCGTATTCCGGAATAAAAAGAAACTTTAAAGGATAGTTCACCCATAGTCTACAAAGGATAGTCTTGGCCTTGATAAAAGTGTTTTTCTTCCTAGAGTATGAGCTCCATATTTTGCTCTATCATACTATATGAGCCAAAAGTCTATTGTATTAAAAAAGAATAAAGGTTCAATAAACTGTTGATTTTTTATTATTATTATTTCAGATGTCAGGCTTTACAGGGTTAACATTATTTTCCCCCTATAGTCCTCAAACATTAATTCATTTGTTTTGGTTACAGTGACATTATATATATGGCAGATAAGAAATACTAAGTGCAATTGAGTGTTTACTATGGAAAAAAAATCTGACCCAGGAAAGCTAACAAAAAAAAGTTTTTTATAATTAATGAATCAGGAAATTATTAGTGAAGAGTTACATTAACCATCTGTTTCAATTGAGGCTAGTTTTTGCTTTCCAGCAGGACATTTAATTCCACATAATGACACATAAAGGCTTTGTATGATTTTGCCAGAATTTATTTTTTTCGTGAGTTTTGTTTATCACACTAGTAATAACAGAAAAGCAGTGTTTCTGAGCTGAAGAATTAGGACAGCGAGTGTGTGTGCTTGGAGTCTCATTCCTGTTTGAACCTGCCCTCATGTGGGGCCCTCTCCGGTGTCCGGTGAATGTCAACATGTGCTGCTGTACTACTACTGCTGAAGTTACAGGCGTCCAAGGTCATTCTTATATTAACAAAATGCCTTTTGACACAGAGGGGAGTTGAGACTCTACACAGTAACCTTGTGTAAACAGCAGTCTCTGGAGTGTAATGCACCAGGTGATAATGAAACTTCTCACAGTGGTATCTTCAGTTTGATAGCAGTCCTCAAACAGTGCCCACTACATTACCCCTTTGAAAGGTTTTTTGTTTATGTATTCCCACATTTTCAGACATTCTTGGGAGTATACTGCTGTTTGTCCCATGTTAGACTCATGTCAAGGACAAACTTCAAAGCTGGAAATGTGTTTTAAGAGTGTAAATCAGACCTGTGCCATGCAGTTAATGTAATTTATGATCCATGAAGTGACTGTTTTTCCTTCCAGGATCAGGATTAGTCTTAACCAGTCGGCTGGTACCTTGGCTTTTATTTTCTGTCTGTAAGACATCTGCGCAGTTGATTTACTTCATGTCAAAGGAAAAATGAGATGACAGCATGTTTCTGAGAGATCCTGCGCCTCTCCGCGGGCAGCACGTGGAGGTGTTGTGCAATGAATACATTTATTTCACGCATCTTGCCATGATTCAACAATAAATAAAGTTATTCCACACATCTCTCTAAGACTCTAACGGCCTTATAAATTACATCATTACCTGTTAGGGGCCTAAGAGTCTTTTCTATTCCTGTCAGCAAAGGGCAAACAGAGTGAGACTGATCTGATTTTCATTAAAGAGCCTCTTGAGTAGCCCGCTGTGAAGAACTCACTCTGCTAATAAAGCTCCAGCATTTCTAGCCCTCTTTCTTGGGAGTATTTAATATAACATTTGTTTTCATGGTCAGGTCATTGCTGTACATAGTCCCTGCATAGAGCTGACATTTTGATCTATTCGAGCAATTGAGTCTCTTTCCCTTTGTGGAAAAAGGCTTATCGTTTGCAAGCAAATTCAATTAATCATCTTATTATTCTAAAGGTGAGGCACAATTTTTCAAGCTTCTCACTGGATTCAGTACTGGAGCACCTGTAGAAACATGCAGGAGTAAAGCTCCCTATTGCTGATTAGCTATTTGTAACCTAGATCTTGAAAGTTTCAGAGGAATGTTGGAAGACATGATGATAGTTGGGCAGTAATGATGAGAGGGTCAAGTTATCTAAATTTGAGGGGCAAATATTGGCAGATAGAGTTCTTGTGAATGCTAGCTGACCTAATATGTTGTTCCTGCGTATGCAGCTAACGATTTTCTTTCTTCAGATGGAAGACCGCAGTGGGAGGTGGAGGCGAAGATCATCAGAGAAAAGAGTCAAGGAGTAAGTGAATGCTTTCCTTTTTACATGTCTACATGGCTTTGTTTTGCCAACAAAAGCACAGACATAAAAATGTCTACATACCCTTTTCCAGTCTTTTTTTCTGTCTTTAACGGAACTAAAAGCTGAAATTCTCCTCAGTCTTCTGAATGTTTAACACATGATAGATTTGAGGACATTGTAATGTGTTTTGACTATATTTGAACTTTGAATTCTTCTGTGGATCAACTTTGAGAGGTTTGCCTCAGACATCCATGATGTGTTGTTTAGTAAAGTTATGTCTCCATCTGTAGTCAAGCATTGTGGTGGAGGTGCCTCCTTATCACAGTAAGACGGTCACTTCAGCTGTGCAGGTGCAGTTCTACATGTGCAATGGCAAACGGAAAAGGAGTCAGTCACACCGCTTTACCTATCTGCCAGGTTTGTATTATACAGCACATTACAAAATTAGCTCAGAATATTACTCAACTATTTGCTGCTCTTAACTTAGCAATGTCATGTACTTGTATGGCCTCATAGAAAAGTATATAGACTTCTGTTTTAAATTTTGGGGTTGGGAAGATTATTTTTTTAAATGCTTTTTTTAAAGACATCTCTTGTGCTCACAAAGGCTGCATATATTTTATCAAACATACAGGAAAAAGTATTTTTCTGGATTCTAGATGACTGGAAAGTTCAACAGAACAAGAGTAAAAATCTTTACTGTCACTCATGGTCAAAATAATGTATTTTTACTGAATAAAAGTATTCATTTAAAATAATAAAGTACTTCATAGATCCTAAGTGCCTCACAGGTTCAGGTTGTATTTTACTCAGTACAGCTCTGTTAAAAATTTGCTCAATATGTTTTTGTAATTGTGGTTACATTTTACAGTAAAAAAAAAGACAATAATATCAATCAATTATTGATAAGTCATAATATAAACAAGAAAATGCAATATAAAGTATATTGAATGTAATGTATTATGTAATGTATGACAAATGCGACTTAATGTCCACATTACATCAAGAATTGGATTGTGTCTGAGTCTGGCCTTCATGCAAAATAGTTTTCTTGCTAACTTCACCTAACAGTAACAAGAATGGCACACATGCGGGTTTTCACAACATAGTCACCCGTTTGATCATGCCAGCGTTCCTCTGCACTGTGCACCAGTGTGGTTAGGGATGAGGTTGTTCCAGTAACAGTTGAGCACCTGGTAACCACTCATGTAAAACACATAAAGAAAGAATCAGCATGATTTACATGTGGCAGGAGGCATGCAAATTTGGGGTACTCAAGAACTGGACCCCTTCAATGTCTTTGTCTTTCTGTTTTTCTCGTTCTCATTAAATGCTCTCGTTCTGTTTCAATCTCCCGTTGGCTTCATCTGTCTTAAGAGTCATATTCTGCAGAACTGCTTTGCATTTTAGAAGATTTTCCCTATGATAAGTCTGTTGAATCATGAGCTTGATGATTCACATGGCAATAATAATGTGTCTCACAAGTTGAATTGACATGCATTACATCAGCACATTATTAGCTCTGCTTTTGAAATTGATATTTATATATCTGATGGAATAGACCGACATCCAGGGTGCAGTAAAAGGCGAAATCTAATTATGGCTTATAGAGTTTCTAATGAAGTGTAATTGTGTGTGGTTCTCATAGCTATAAGCTCGTTTGTTATTAATTTCCCAAAGTGAGTCAAACCGAAAAAACAGCGTTGGCGTAATTGAATCACACGTGAGCAACTTTTTTTCTTTGTCTCTATCTCCGAGTTGCATGCTAACCTGTAAAAGAGATCGAGAAAGACAAAAAGAGAGGGAGAGTGAGAGAGCGAGATAGGCCCAGCCTCCCGCCCACCCTCTCCGCTCCACAAAGCACCCACTCAAATTAGGGTTTCCTGTTTTCCACACTAACCCGTTGGGTTTCAGCCAATCAGACGACAGCACAGGCAGCCAATATTATGAACAGGCCACGGCGACTGTGGTTGCCATGGCATCAGCCCACTGAGAAAGTGGCATAGCAGGGGGAAGGGCTGAGGTGCTGTGTTGTTAGAGTAGAGCCAGACTTTTCATGGGTAATGAATAAGATGTCTGATGCGATGAGCAGAGATCTTAATCCAGATTTAAACTAAATAGAGTGTGAATGCTGTTGGGCCTGCGAGGAAGTAGTTTGTAATCCACCTAATTGAATGTCTGAGGCTTCTTTGTTGGTCACAGACAAATCCACCAGCTTTGGTCCAAAATTCACCTGGAAATGAATGCTATTAGTTGTATTTATCAACTGAAACTAAGCTTTATTTCAAGTGCATTGTAAATACACAATGAGTAACACCAGACTCAAATGCATTCACACTCTCTCCCACACATGGTCACCACTTGCGCTTCATATCAGGAAACTACAGTTTTACTGCAGTAATGGCCTTGCAGCAGCGTATGGGCTGTGAACTGGATTTTGGTTCCCATTTGAAGCTATGCTGGAGGGCAGACAGCATTCTTCAGTTCCCAAATTCAGCACTGGTTTACATGGCACTCAAGCAGGCAACATATGCTCTCTCAGAGTCCACAGCAAGTAAAAATATCCCCCACTCATGCGAGCCAGGGAAATGGCAGATCGGGAAATGGGTTACTGAACACTGTTACTATTACTCATTGTGTGCACATGTAGGAGAGAAGAGGAGAGTTTGATGAAAATATTGGATCATAATGAAATATGTGCAATTTTTATACTGAGCATAGTTCTTGAACATATGTTAGTCATATAATTTTGCTGTCAGTTTTATCTGACATGGGAAATGGGACAAGAGTTCATTAGTGCTGTGAATCTATTAAACTTTAAAAGAAATTGCCAAACCAGTATGGTTAATCAGTTTGATATGCTAATGTAATGGCATCATGAGATCTCAATAACTCTCAATATGATCACAATAAAAGTATAAATAAAAATACTTAAAGAGGTATTACTAATATTACTGAAAAGTTTCAAACTAGTGAAACAGATAATTACTGTTCAGACTAATTCAGTGACATTTTATAGCTAAAGACATTTCAAATGTTAAGATTATCAATTAAAGTTTTTCTCTTTCCTCATTTTTTTTAACCATCTCTCTCTCTCTCTCTCTCTCTCTCTCTCTCTCTCTCTCTCTCTCTCTCTCTCTCTCTCTCTCTCTCTCTCTCTCTCTCTCTCTCTCTCTCTCTCTCTCTCTCTCTCTCTCTCTCTCTCTCTCTCCATCCTTCCAGTCCTGGTCAAGCAGGAACATAGGGATGATCTGGACTCCCCTGCCGTGCCGCCCATGTCTATGCCTCTAGTCCATGCTGCCAGTTTGGTCTGCGCTCAGCCGCTGTCCTCCCCAGAGCACTCCCACCCACCAGACGGCCTTCTGTCTAGCTCCCCACGTGGCCTGGCTGCAGGCCTGCACCCACTCCAGGCCCCCTGTGCCCCAATGGGCTCCCCAACTCTTCCCCACCTGCCCCATCTTCAGGCTCAAGGACTGAATGCGCCTCCCGAATGCCAGATGCCCTTCCACCCAGGCCCTTCTGCCACTGCCAGGCCATCTTACCCACCCATACAGCACAACATGCCCTTCAACAGCCAGCACAGTCTTCCTATGACTGCGGGCTCCGCACAGGCCTACGAGAGGTTGCCCTTCCAGGCCGATCCATCCGGGTGTCACACCCTGGGTTTGGGGATGGTGTATGGCCCGGCTTCTTCAATACCCACCTCTGGAGTGCCGCCGGGGTCTTGCCCCAGCCTCAGCCATGCAGCCTGTACAGGTAGCAACCAGGTCATGGCCCACTCTGCCCCTCACCTTCACTCTCTAGGCTATCACTGCCCCACTCCAGGGCAGGTCCCATCACCCACCCACACGCTGGGACAGCAGGTCCCACAGCTGCAGCATCCACTGGTTTACCATCCAGCCGGGCAGCGTTCTGCCTCCTGCCCCACACCCTCAAGTGCTCCCTCTCGAATGGTGCCATCTCCCCACTCTGGGCCCTCGTCCCCCCAGATCCATTCCCTCCCCTACCATTCCCCTACCTCCCCGTCTCCTACATCCAGCAGCCCTTTGGGGCCCATGGCGCTCTCTGGACAGCCTTCCCCACAGGCTAGCAGCCCTGTTTTGGCTGGGTTGTCCCCTTCAGGTCCTTTGGTGCACCCCCTGACCCAACAGGAAGAGAGACTGAACATCAAACAGGAGCCAGAAGATAGAGAGCCCACTTTCCGTACCATTGGCTTGCAGGACATTACGCTTGACGATGGTGAGTCTTTGCACTTTGTTAAACAGTGTATTTTCATCTTATGACACTTAATAACATTTGAATGTGCCTGATCACTTCCACATTTAGCCCCAGTGGCCACCACAACCTCCGGTGCAGCGCAGTGTATGGAAATTAAGCACAAAATTAAACCTTCAGGAATAGTCCCACAACAGGACAATATTGATATGATATCATCACCTTTAGACTAAAGACATTTAAAGCTTCTAAAACTCATTACCAAAATGTGGTTTTAATATAATATAAAATTTTATGTTTACTACAGTTAATAATATATGTATTATACTATATTATAATATAATTCATTGTGATTGACATGTAAATAAAATATAGGGCATAAAAATATGACAGAAAGATTAAGATCAATATTACCACAGTTTGCTGGGGGAGAATACTATACCGGAAGAGGCATGTATAGTGTCCACTGACTTTTGACTGGGCCACTCCAGGTTGCATTTGATTTAGCTATGATGACCAAAACTACAATGCATGAGTCCCACCAGCAGGCATGTCTGTTTTCCTCCCTTTGTTGTAGTTTCTGTAGTACTCACTGAAATAATTACCCTTTTATTCACTTTATTCATATATGATATTTATGGATATTTGAGAATGACAGGCACTCAGTCGACTAGTGTGTGAATAATACATTAAGGGTAAATAAATATGCGTGAATCTGTGCAGTAGTAGCTTATTCATAACAGGAACTAGTAGAGTTAATGCTTCATTTACTAAAATGAATTTGCATGCACAAGTTGCCTGGGACGTTAGAGTGGTTAACAGGTCCCAGATCTTAAGAGTGTCATGGCATAGGGCGGATTCATTACACTGTTAATCCTTCTTAGCAAGAACTATGAGACCTAGTAAAGTTAGTAGTGTGGGGGAGGGAAACAGAGAGGCTGTGTTTGGAGTCGCTTACTACCTTATTACTCTCGCTCTTTCTGCAGTATATACAGTATTATACTATGTTAAAAAAAAAAAAAAAAATTCTTTCCGGACAAGTGAATGGCCCATTTATTTGTTTAAAGGACAAGCACATGACAAGGCTAAATGTTGAGCCCTGCTGTATACAATAGTGCATGCTTCCACATTGCAATGCACTCAATATGACCCAATATTTTTGAAAAATATGTGAAATATACTTTGTGAAACATTATTCCAATTTAAAATAACTTTTATATTTTAATATATTTTAAATTGAATTTATTCCTGTGAGGGCAAAGCTGAGTTTTAGCAGCAATTACTCCAGTCTTCAGTGTCACATGATCCTTTAAAAAATCATTCTATGCTGATTTGGTACTCACAAAAAATTCTTATTATCAGTTAAAAACAGTGCTGCTAAATATTTTTGTGAAAACTGAGATAAATTTTTTCAGGATTAATTGCTCAGTTCAAACGAGCAGCATGTTTTGTTTTGTAACAATATAAATGTCTTTGCTGTCACTTTTGATCAATTTAATGTGTCCCTGCTGTAGTAATTTCTTTTAAAAATATTAAATCATACTGACCACAAACTTTTTTTTATCATTTATCAGTCACAATTACATGCACATAATGAGGTAATGACAGCATGGACAATAGAATACTACTAGTTAAAATGTTTTTTGTTTTTGTGACTTTAAAATAGTTTGTTTTCTATGGGGTTAGAATTGTTGCATTATTCCAAATAAATAGATTGAGATTCACAAACAAATGTAAAGAGATTCACAAAAATGTATCAAATTCACAAATAAATAGATTAGAAATAGATGCTAGAAGTGTTTCAAAATCCACAGATGCGTGAGGGGATTTACAAATGCACAGAAAGCGGTTCACAAATAAATGCCAGGCAGAGTTGTGTTTGTGACATTAAACACATTTGTAAATATTTTTATTTTATTTGCAAATCTCATTTTATTTATTTGTGAGTATTATAATTTTTTGTGAATCTCAATCTATTTATTTGGAATAATGCAACAATTCTAACCCCATAGTTTTCAGTGTGTACTGTGCGGAATACATTGGCTACGTCCGGAATGGAATACTATGGTATGGCTTACAGCGAGAGAGCTTGACCTCAGCTTCTGTGTTTATATGGATATTTTTTTGCTGATGGTGTGTTTATTTGAGAAGAACAGACCACAATGGATTCCTTATTCAAAACTCAGCAATTTACTACTGAACATTTGTTTGCTCTATATGCTGTATTACAACCTTATGCATCAATCATAGTAGATTGTTTTTTTTCATGGATTACTAATGAGAGTTCAGGCTAATGCTGTTCATCAGCACAGATTCCAGCAATGTCGTCATGTTTGTAAGATAGATACCATTCCTGGACCAGAATTTGATCACGGGGAGTCACTTCTGCTTTCTGGCATTCTTCAGTTACATATCCAAATGTGCAGTCAGACAGAGTTAATAAACAGCTTGAGTCACTCAAATTAGGTGTGTGTGTTAGGGTTGGGTGATGTGCATTGAGCATTGAGCAAGATCTCCTGAGACACTACAATAGGCTACTAATAATTCATTAATACGAGCTGTTTTCTTGTACAAAATTAAATATTTTAAGTTAAATGCACAGTGTAAGACATGTAAAAAAGACAAGAGGCTAACAATGTCAAGATCAATATCTGTGTAGCCTGACATGGTATTTCACACTGCACGCGGATGCGTTTCGGCGATCCGTTCCAGGAGCGGTGCGTATACAGCAGTGCAGAGATCGTTTACGCACCGAGTCTATTTTTGCTGTACTGCACGCGCTGAATTACACATTAAACACAGATTGACATGACAATGAATTTAATCATAAATGCATCTAATTAAATAAAATGTAGTAGTCTCACCACAAATGCATTTAATTAAATACTACTATTTTTCACAGTCATCTTTTTACTTTAAGACCGGGGTAAAACAAGGAAAACTACAATTTACTTCAACCAGGACATAATGAACGACACTCTGAATGAACGAGATGGAAAAACAAGTTATTTGTGACATGCAAGATTTATTGTATAAAGATTTAAATTATGCAAAAGAAAAGGTCAATTTTAAGTTTTAATTTAAAATGTTTGCGATCTTAAGTACATGGTTAAATATTTGGCCACTTGCTTGAGCAACTTAATATATAATCTATAGAGAAGTAATGCATTGAATAATACGTTGTTTAAACGTGAATACGTCTATTAAAGAGTGTATATGTGTACAAAGAGAATTGCAATGCTGACAAAACTTTTTTTAAATAAAAGTTGCTGATAACTTCTGGATTTGAAATACCAATAGTGAGTAAATGTGTTTGTAGTACAGCCGCGGATCAGTTGCGCACTGTAAACGCAGCATATGTGAAAGCACTATAGCGCGTGCTGCTCCTGTACCGCATACGCACTGCACACGGAGTATGTGTGAAATGGGCGTAACACGTCTCGTCTCGTCTCTGGCATAGACTACAGTATTTAAAATAGCATGCATGTGCATAAGTTATATTCTCAATTTAATTTACAGAGCAATCCCTGCTAAGTTTAGAGACTAAGATTAGTGTGTATCTGGGTCGGGGCGTGGCATCACGATGATGGCTCTCCATCGTGATGTCGGTCAGCCATCACATCGTCCATCTGCACAACCCTAGTGTGTGTGTGTAAGTGTAAGTGTGTGTGTGTGTGTAAGTGTGAAGTGTGGGTCCAGAAGGATCCAGCATCTGTAATTAAAACACACACACAGTTCACACACTTGGCCAGCCACTTACTAATTCACAAATGTGCACTCATACACGCTCAGTATTTCAAACTAGGCATGCTCAGCCACACAAATACTCACTGCCAACATGTTGCTCACGTATACTGTAACATATGTCCTCATGCAGTCAGTGTGTGAGATGGGATGAAGTTGAACCTTTTTTAAAGTGAAATTGTGAACTGATTCCACCAGAGACTGTATCCTCCCTAAAGAACACACTATAAATAGGGTCTGTGTCATTCTGACTGAAGCTCTTGAGCACTGTCGAGTTGTTAAGGAGGTCAGAAATGAACTGCAAATAGAACAGAACACAGCTCCAGTCACTGACATAAACCTTCTTTCACGTCAACATACAGCTACCACTGTTATTGAAATGTACAGCATGTTTTGCTAAAGCATTACGCTTGGCCTATTTGAATAAACTGCAAATTTATAAACACTATTTAGAAAAACGCTGATAAATTTAAAAAAAATCTCAAATGGCATTTATTTATTTACCATAGCCCATATATTAATATGTATCATGTCATAATTATGATTGTTTATTGCATTCAAGTATAGACTCAACGTTTTAATTTTTCTTGCTGTCTTGTCTCGTGTCTGTTCATAAGAGTCATGCATCACTTTTTATGGTTAACTGTAAGCGCCCTGCAGCTGGCTGAGAGTTTCACTAGATTTAAATGTAAGTTTATGTATCAGTCAGACTGCAGTTCTTAATCACACTTTCCTGGCACTTTTATGGCCCCAGATACTTTAGTTCCATTTGATGAATCACTTTTCAGCAGAATTCAGTGGCTGTCACTCTGTCAGTGGTAGTGCATTCTGGGAGTTGTGTGATTTCTGTGATCGTTTAAAACATTGTGTTTATTTACAAATCGCACCGGCTTTCATTTCCAAAGCTGTTTTGATACTGGTTAAACTGGTTTTAATAGTGCTTACTAGCAAATTGTGGTAGGCGGGAATCGCACCTGATATTCTGGTCCTGTTGTTTTTATTTCAGGTCTGCATGGAGCCAGTGCTACAACTGGATGGATTAAAGTTTATTTATATAGAAAGCTAATATTAAAGGGCTGTTTGGGTTTTTCATGGACAAATACGGCGGTGTGTGTGTTTGTGTGTGTGAACAGATGGCACAGGTGATGTCAAAGACTCTTTGCAGGTGGTGTTGGGGAGGGGCTACAGACAGACTGACAGATGGATGACAAAAAAGCAGGGAATTGACACAAACACACACACACTCTCAAACAGAAAGGTCATAGAAGGAATAGAATATA